GAAGAAGAAGAAGAAGAAGAAGAAGAAGAAGAGGAGGAGGAGGAGGAGGAGGAGGAGGAGGAGGGGAAACCTATATAAGCACTTATAAGAACATGTGGAAAATTTTATCAGGCTACTCAATTCCCAGTCTGAGTAGGGTATTAGTCAATATCACTAAAGATTAATTTCTATGGGATCAAATTCCATGACCATTAGCAATGCTGTGAATTGATCCAACATCTCTGTGACACACCAGATTGGGGAAGGCAGTAGGCTGTAGAAATTCTACCATTCCAATTTGTAATGCGAATATTTTCCTCTATCCATACATGCATGTTTCACTGGAGTAGGAGATTCAAAAAAACTTCAGCATGAATGCAACATGGCTCAGAAGTTAAAGCTGGAGAACAGCCTGCCAGATACTTACAGATTGGATCTGGAACATGAATTTCACTGTACTCAGAGTCTAGCTTATAATCACAAGGTAAAGAGATGCACTTATTCCAAAGGTGGAAAACACAATGACTCAGCAAGGGTTGTCAGGGGATGGTGATGGAAGTTGGGTGAGGAGTATGGAAAATGGTGGGAAGAAGAAATGAAATGATGCAGCCTGCAGGTAGACCAGAACAGAAAATCAACTCCACAGGAAGGCCAAAACTACTTTTTCTGAGAGTGGCTGCAATAATAGAATCTTGCAAGTCTGATTGTGCTGCACCTCCTTCCCCTTCTGTGAATTAGGTAGGTGTCTGTCTGAGCCTCTTCTACATATTTTCAATCTGTTGTGCACTTAAGATATGTTTCATCCCTCATTGCTTTGGTAACAGATCTTGCATATCTCCATCAAAGTCATCTTCCTGACTCTCTACAATGGGTGACTAGGACCTGGCACAAACTCCATAATCCAGGATTTTCTCCAAGATCCTATTTGGAACAGCAACTGTTACAAGGGAAGATGCTAAATGCTCAATCTATAACCCTTCTCAGGTCCATTTGCACCATGAAGACACCACATCCCAGCTGCACTCCTACCTGGAGGCCAACTATGGGAAACACTGGGACAAGACCAACAATATGAGGAAGGTGATCATCAGCCAGATGTTCAAAAATCATTCACAGGCCACCCTGAGGAGCTACTTCATGGAGGTAGGAATAGCAGGACTGTATGTGTCACATTTCTAGATGGGGAGACAGTGTGGTGTTGGAAGGGGACTAGGAGAGCCAGGCTGAGATTCCCACTTGAGCACCAGCCATCAACCTACCTTGCAAGGTTATAATAATGATAAAATGAGAGGAGAACCCATAGAGAAGGCTTTGGGACAGCTGCTGGGTCAGCCCAACCTTCCTCACAAGGTTACAGTTCTGGAAATGTTACCAAAGACTCTCTTGGAAACTGTCTTGAGCTTTCTTTGAAGAGGAGGAGGAGGAGGAGGAGGAGGGTGATTGTTGTTACAATGCATGATGCAACTCTTTGCCATACTGAAATTTGCAAATTGCCATTGTCACATACTGGCTTTCTCCAAACCAATGCCTTCCAGGTACACTGGACAGCAACTGACCCTCTGCCAGTGTGGGGGATAATGGGCCTTGTAATGGGAGATCATTTTCTTGGCCACTGTCTTCTTCCAGGATGCTTCCTAACCTCCCAATCTAGCCTACAGCCCTGGGATTTTCTGGAGATCCCCTATCTAAGGGCTAAAGAGACCTGAACCTTTTATCAGGATTAGTTGGGGTGCTGCCCCCTGCTGTGATGATGGGCCTTGTAGTCCAGCTCAACTCAGCTTTTACATTTTGCGTAGGTATTCCCCAGTTTAAGACCAAATTCCATTCCCAAGGTCTCTCCTTAAGTCGAATTTGCACGTAAGCCAGAAAAGTAATATTGTATAATACCATATAAGTAATATTGTGTAATTAATTCAAACCATTGTGTATTTAACTTGCATCATTGTCAATTTTTGCTACAATAGGCTCTGTTCTTAGCTACAGGTCATCCTTAAACCGGATGTTTTTAACCCGGGGACTACCTGTATTTTGTTTTTATATATTGTTTGTTTGTTGCTAGATAGCTTTTTTGGGTTTTTGAGGGGGGTTTGGATTTATTGTGTGTTTATGTTGTACCCCGCTCTGAGTCACAGTCATATACTGTATATAAGTATATATGTATATAATTGTTATTAACGAAGGACTTTACCCAGAATTAAAAGACTACAAAAACAGAAAAAGAAAAGTAGAAAAGAAAAAGAAAAAGATATGAAAGAGTAAAAGAAAATGTGAAAGACCAGAAAAGACTAAGAAAAGGAAAAAGAAAAATATCTAAAGAAGCATGGAGTCACACAGTCTGAGTTGGGTGGCCTTATAACTTCTGAAATAAATGAATAAAAATAAATAAACTCGGGGACGTCAGAGCAGGGGGTGTTGCTGTAGCCGCACCACCCTGGCCTGCAATGCATTGAATAGCCACTGTTGCTTTGGGTCTGAGACACGGCCTTTCTTTTCCTATAACGTGGGGCACAACTCATTTTCCCTTTCAGTTCATGGTTCAAGTGCCTGAAAGGAACCTGGATTACAGGACTCGGCTGCAACATTCGCATTCCTTCCACCACTGCCTTGAAAGCAGCACCAGTTTCAAGGTGCATTATAACAACCGTATCCCTTTTATAGCAGACCTGCAATGGAAAAATAGTTCCGGGCGTTTGCTGAAGAAGTGGGAAGGTAAGAGTCAACCCCATGAAAGGTCCATGCTTATAACTGCATTTTAGTGGAAAAAATAAATGACCAATAAAGAGGCAAATCTGAAGGAGGTTCATCAGGATAAAACATTTGAATTGTCTATGTTTATAGCTTTGCTTTACAGAGGAAATGCTGCACAATGCTATTGAAAGGTGGAGCGTCTGTCATCTTAACAGACATCCTTTTCTCTTTACAGGTACCTTCAATATGGACACACCCTGGCTGTATCTGTACGCCACTCACAAATTCCACCAGTTCCAGCGTTCGGCTTACTTCACTACTGTTGAATTAACTGTTGGTAAAGCTTTGGTTGTCAAAGGTTTAGTGCTGGAACTCTACTGTAAAGACAACGATGATGAGAAGGAAAGCAGAATTGAAATCCGCACGTCGACAACCACCTATCTGAGAGTTAGTTCATTCCTCTTGATTGCCTTGGCCTAATTCCTTTCCTTCAGCTGTAATTGTAGACTGGATACAGTCTCAGGACAGTTTCGAACATTCGAGTGGAGGACTACTTCAGATTAAATGGACTTGTCTGTTATTTCTGGAGGGCAACCAGGCAGAAATTTGGTCCGTTGCATTCAAAATCCAGTAAATGAGGGTCCATTAAATGAAGGATACACTGTATTATTGAATTGAGGAAATGGGTGAATTCAAGTACTAGTTAGCAAACTCCTCCAAACAAAGTTCTTCTTAACTGAAGTATCAGGATTAAATAACAGGGGAGACGGTGTGTTATAAAGCCAAGCACCACTTCTAGACTCCGCTTTATTTCCAATTTATTTATTATTTAGTTATTTATCAAATTTAGATGGCCGCCCATCTCACAAAAGTGACTCTGGGTGGCGTACAACAATTAAATAAAAAATAAATATAT